GGGCGGAGGGAGTGGGGGGGGGGGGGTGGGGCGGGGGGCGTTGAAATGAGGCAGGGAGAGCATGTTGGGGTGCAGGAAGAAGAAAGAAAGTGCTTTTGTCAGTAAAACAAAAACGAGTTTCCCAACCGCGTGACTTTATCCAAATATATGTGTTCGATCGCACTGTGACACTGCACCACTGTGCTAGTGATAAACACGCATACCTGGTGGTCTTTGAAGCGCCGGCAGCACCAGCTTTTGCAGTGGTCGAAGTGCTGGGTTTTGGGGCAGTGGACGCCGCTGCTTTGCTGGCAGTAGCTACAAAAAAGAAAAGAAAAAAGGAACAACATGAAAATGAGACTGCGTTGAAATGAAACAAGCAAAATAAGTGATGTTTAAGGATAGGTTGTCAAAGACAATCAACATGATACAAATATTCATCTCAATTCAGTTTTCCTCTCCTTAATTCAGACTTACCTGTGGTTTTGGGTCGAGCTACGTTAACGGTCTCAGCTACTGCTACTGGTCTCTTCTTAGGAATGCCATTCACTGCTGTTGCTTTGCTGCCATTTGTTGCTGTGGCTGCAGCAACAGAGGTAGTCCTGGCCAGTCCAACGGGCTTCTTGTCAGGCACTCTAGATTGGTTCTTGACCGTGGAGGAAACGGCTGCTCCGCCCACCGGTCGTTTAGGTACGGCCCCCGCCGCCGAGGCTTTCGCTGTAGCTGCCGGTTTCTTGACTGCGGCGACCGAGGTAAGGTTGGAGGATTTCACGCCGTTCACCGTGCGGTGCGAGGCGGCACCTGGCCGGGATCCGGAGGCCCCCGCGGGTTTGGCTGCGGGCTGCATTTTAGTCGCAACAGCTTTCGGTTTGACTTTGGGGTCCGCTGCCACCGGCTTGGAGTCGGCCTTCGGAGCAGCCATGGGTGCCGCGTCATTCGCAGCTTCCTCTGGTTGCGACGGGGCTTGCTCTGTGATGTTGTCCTGCAACGAGGAGGGCTCAGCTACAGCTGCAGCTTCGGTGGGCTCAGGGGTTTCCATGGTATCCCCATCCGGTTTCATTCCCTCCTACAAAAGGTGCGGACGCCGACGTCGCTGCTTGCTTATAAGGTTGAGAAGCTCACACTTCGATGTCCTGTAGAAGAAGAACACATATTCATCACAGGGATACTAATGTTATCTTTTGCTGCACACCTCTTCAATGCAGAATTGAACCATGTGGCACTACTCATGAAGTCATAGCATTTACATGTCACTGTCAGCCAAAGGAAATGCCATTTATGGCAAGGGGCCTCCAAGGAATTTGGGAGAATCTGAAAAACAGGAAGTGAGCAGCGAGAGATGCCAACAAATCGGGTTTTCTAAACCACGGTGACTAGTCCGCCCATCTAACAGAACTACCATGGTAACAATGCATCATAATGAGTGCGGTATTAAAATAAACTTAGTAATCAACTATTAAAATACCACAACAAAAAGGAGCCGTGGATTGTTGTAATTCCATGTTTTATGGGGCAGAAATATAAACTGATGACTTGTCGCTGTTCTCCAAATGACTTCAACCATCTTGAAATTGAAAAAGGGAAAAAAAGGCTGTGGTTGGGAGGCTTCAAAATCTCCTGTCATGACACAGAGGATGAGGAAAACAAGTCCCAAATGGTGCACTCGTTAGCCATCGTCTTCCTCTGTTGAGCAGGTCCAGATGGTCGTCGCCATGTCACCCTGCAAGTGCTTAACAGATATTTGTGTTCTGGGAGATTCCCTAATTGACAGTACTAGTGGAAGAGTAGAGTAGAAGAAGCTGTGGTGAGTTTGGAGGAAACTAAGGGGCGAGATGTTAATGAGTTCAGGACCTAAGTACCACTCCGCTCAGACACATCCTCCACGTGGGTTTACTTCCCCCTCAAATCATCCCCTTCACCCACTCTCTCCCCATTCCTCCGACCACAGCAGCCTCTCCCCACCCCCTCCCGATTACACCCGCCTTTCTCCCCGCACCCACCATTAGCCACTTGTTCCTCCCCTCCTCCCACTGCTTATAGCTCTGCTTCCAGTAAATTGCTACACATACGCTCTAGCCAGCAGAAGCTCGGTATGACCCAGGAAACAAGCTGTGCAAGAGGTGGATTGAATAAAAACAGCAAAGATAAAACCAGAATATCACAGAGTAGTGGACCAAAACAAAAGCTTATAGAGAAGAGAAAGAAAGGTGAACTGAGAATAGGTTCTTCCTACTCGGCTAGAAAGGCATGAGTAATGATAACAATGAACTAACCATGGCAGCAATTCAGAGCGAGAGCAGACTCTTCCCTCCCAGTGCAAACTAATAAGGTCACAGCCATAGACGATTTATGATAAAGCCATTAAGCCAGACAACTAAAAAAAAAAAACACACATCTTGGAGAAAGGACAAGTTCCAATGAGCAAAGTTTTCCACAGACATGAGGTACCGAGTGCATTTATACAGCCTCGCAGCTTAATTCGCCTTTCGGACGGATAAAGCATTCGAATTCATCTCCAACTGACAAATTTCCAACAGACGTTTTAGAATTGAGTCTTTCAAAAGAAGCAGCAGCACTTATTGTTGTCCAAAGGTCAGGCAACATTTGCTTCCTTGCCAGTTACACATTAACATCAGAGGTAACACAATACTGTGGTCCCTTCCTCCCAGATCCACAAATGTAGACGCTTTTGCACTCCTACTCAGGAGGTAAAAAAAAGGTCTCTGCAAGTCTTCACCCTTAGGTATCAATGTACTCTGGGCTAGCCAAGCAACAACAATGCTTCGTCAAACAAAAGACAAATGGGTGAATGGACCATATGTTGGCAGTTTTAACTCGTTTGGCCAGTTTAGTGCTGATAACCACTGAACACACCTCCCCACACAAAACACCCTCACCTGCACATAAAGAAACTGTAAACCCACTTATGTCTTGTATAAAATAATTAAGTCCTAACCCATGGTTCAGCCATGGAAAGTTACAACCTGGACTCCGTGCTGGCCTTTCAAACAGTTTTCCCTCCTGCTGTCATCTGTTGTCTTTGTTCTACTCCGGTCTCTGTGGTTATAAATCTCACACAGAAAGGAAGCCGACGACACAAAGTTTGGATTGTCCCCTCTTTTGGAAAAGATCAAGCCTTAAATGACAGTCAATTAGGTAATGTGCAGAGCTTTTGGGACAGTGTTGCGCAAATCAAATCCATTGCTTCATTTATATGAATAGGAAGGTTAGGAAGCCATTAGCAAATTGGGAACCTAGAGAAGGGGTTGGCGAGGTGGCTTCTCACCGGCACGTCCACATTTTAATCTGGATGAGTTGGCATGTTTGCCTAACATCAGGTCAAACTCGCTCTTTGAGTTGGTGACTCTACTTGTCAATAAAAGCCACCCAGTTCATTCAAAACAGGAAGAAGCTGCTCCACACGGAAAGAGCAGTGAGACGGGGAATTTGACCGCCACTGTGACATGTGTGTGGCATAGCTTTGCCAGTCCAGCTACTAATGCCAGAGGCTTAGCAGATAGCAGAATGAAATCACATTCCTCATGGGGTGACCTCCCCTTCTGTGCAAGTGAAGGCATCATCTCTAACCACGCTGTCGGCGTGTGACGCAGCGCAGAGGGGATGTGAACGGATCATTAAAATCCCATCCACACGTGCATGCACGCACAGATACGGGATGTTTTACCGAATTGCAGCCAGGCTGCTCTGCAGAGCTGGTGCTCGTTTTCCTATCCATCAGACCACACTTATCACCGATGCTATAGACAATTTTGAGATTCTTCAAGCTGTTCCCGATACCTAGCTGAAAACATGTTGAGTCAGAGGTCTGGATTTTATGACTGCACAGCGACAAAAAGAGGTCTGCCTGGTCAAGATGAACAGCCTCATGCATTTTGATGCATTGCAAGAAAACCTCCATTGTCAGCCACTCTTTCAGTCTACATTTGCATAACAAATCCCAGTTCACTGAGATTTAAAAAAAAAAAAAAACATTGACGCAGCAGGCCTTCCTTCTCGCCAGCTCCATGCGGCTAATATCACAATTAGCTCAATACCCCTGATGACAAATACAATGCGTTTCAAGTATTCTGATGAAGACAAAAGGCCTAAAAAGGCAGACAAAAAATGCAGCACTATGCATCTAGCCCAAGAGTCTATAAATGCAGCCTTCACTTTGTCCGATTGTAAGAGGGAGTCCGTCTCGACACAGAAAGAGCCCGCTGGTATTTACATTCCGCTTCTTCTCGTAAGTCTTACTCCTGACCTCAGAGGCAGTTAAATGACATCTGTCATACCGCGTCTCTCGGTCTCGCTCTCCGTCCCTTCAGACATTAGAAGTGGTGCCTGACGAAATAGACAGTATTAAAAATGACCTAATAGAAGCAGAGGGGGGGATTTAGCAGTGTTGAGAGCACAGCAGGGGTTTGGAATGCATTGTGCAGACTGCTGGAGGAGGTGGCAGATGAGAGGGGCTGTTGATACTGGTGCTGGGGCTTAATGTCATCTGTAGACTGCTGTCACAATGCTGTGATTGATTACAAAACAGCAAAGAGACATTTAAACATTACGACTGGAACAGTGATTGTATGTCTGAACATACGGTCTAACCTAATGCCTTTTTGCATTAGAGCTGAATCAAATTAGTTGAACAACAGATAAATAATCTCAAACTATTTTGATAATCGATAAATCCTTTCAAGCTAAACTAAAAAATATTCTTAAGTATATAGTACACAGAGTCTCCTTTGGGTTTTAGACTGAGTCAGACAAAACAGTGATTTCCCAATCACAATCTTCTGACTATCAATCCAAACGATTAATAGGGTCATCACGAAAACATCGTCAGACGAACTGATAATTAAAACCATCTTTAGTTGAAGCCCTATTTTGGATATCAAACGAGCCATTTCAGTGGCCTGATGTTGGGCTTCTACTTCTAGATTTGTGTCAATGCTGCGTCTGCTCCAAGATGACTAATGGCAGAAAGGGAATGGCTGAAGCAGCATCGGTATTAACAGCACATCCACATTCCAGCTCTGCGGACTTCTTCGAGACTCCTCAGGGCTGCACAGTGGCAGCTGTCTCTGTGTGCGTGTGTGTGTGTGACGGTGGTAAAAAGGGTCATAGGGAGTCCAATGAATGTGTGTGTGTGATCAGATGGGGTAGTGTGTGAGGAGAGTGAGCAAAGAATGTGTAGGAGGAAAGTGTGCATGATGTGAAAAATGCACATGCAAGCAGACCAAAAAAAAAAAAAAAAAAAAAAAAAAAAAAAAAAAAAAAAAAAAAAAGGAATGAAAACGGGAATTATGCAGCTCTCCACTTCCTGCATTCTTTCAATTCCACAGACACTTGATTCATCTCTGTACCAGAACTGCACCTTTGGACATTTAAAATAACAAACAAAAGCTGGCCTGGTGAACTTGACCACGGTTAACTTACAGGTCTGGGAGTGTTCGGCAGACTGTGTGGAGTATGAAAGTATTAACACATGAAGCTCATCTGTCTGTTTGCTCATGAACTTTCCTCTGCTGTGTACGCAGGAAGAAATGCAGGCAGCATTCAGTCAGAGTGTGGACACATGTATGTGAATGAAAGGGCTAAAGAATGTATGTGAACGAAAGGGTCTGTTAATGCAGTGGAATGAAGAGCAAAACAAGAGGTTTGGGGAAAGGGGGGGCTTTCCCAACGTTGGGCTCAAGCGTTAGATCAGATGCAGGGAAAACTGCTCACTCCAATCCATGTCTACTACTACCAACACCACTCCAAAAACCAGACAAATGTACGGAACCAGTCTTCAACAGCACATCTAAAAACAACTTTATGTTAAAAGTGGGACGGTGACTTGACTCGAAGCAGCAGGCTTTTACATACACAGCCTCCCATTTCTCCATCTGACCATACAAGGCACTAGTGCCGTTTCTGCTGCATCACCAAGTGTTTTTCACTCTCACTCTCTCACACACACACACACACACACACACACACACACACACACACACACAC